ATTCCAGCAGGAGCAGGGCGAGCAATGGCAGCGGTCAAAACAAGGTACAGGGAGGGGCGTATGGGTTGCTGGTGTGCGGGGTTGGGCTGATGGCATGTGGGCTGATGGGGTGTGGGCTGATGGCATGTGAGCTGATGGCATGTGTAAGGGTGACAGAGAAGGTGCGCATGGCATACATTCCAGTGCTCGTTCACATGCACCATGGCCCCCACTAGATGATAACTAGATATTTCGACGTCCCAGAACGGGATTATTATCACGCAGTGTAAGGGAGGCATAGAAGGCGTACATGGGAATTATTACAATCTACAGGTCATTCACTACAAGGCATGATGGTCGGTACTACTAGGTGACTCTTGAGTAAACTCAAAAGCCACCTCATTCTTCTACTGCTCACTCACATGCATGACGCCCTGCCACTCAAATGGTGTCTCTTCCCTTCTCAAGTGGTGCTTCGCTCCCTCCCTTCCTCTCCTCTCTCCCCCCCGTTGCTTCTCTCCCGTTGTTTTCTCAGTCCAACGAGTGCTAGACACTGCATCGTCCCTCCTGCTTCCCCTCGTCGCCCTCCTCATCCCTCTCCTCCTCTCGCTAATTGTCTCCCCTCCTCCTCTCCTCCGCCACTTGGCCGACATAGCAGCGGCCAAAACATCGCATCCTTCGAGGCAAGTCCCGCGGCTCCTCTTGTGTCATCATAGATCCTAATCGCAACCCCCTCTTTATAATCAATCAATATCACCTGCTTGCATCCTTTTTTGCGTTACGCCACTAGCATGCCTGTGCTTTGCACTGGAAAGCAGACACACCGTCACACAGGCACACCATCACACAGACACACCGTCACACAGACGCACCATCACACAGACGCACCGTCACACAGACACACCGTCACAAATTCAGAGTCACCTTTCAGAAATTCTGTCAGTCATATGCACAAACTTAGACTGAAATAATCCTCCTCTCATCTTCACCCATCCCTTCTCTTTTCCCCCTGCTACCCTTTCTGCTCTCTGCCCTTCTCCTATCCCCCACTCCACTCCCACTTCGCCCTCCACTAGTAGCCTCCAACATCTCCACCACCACTTACACCTCATCCTCTCCTTTCCTTCTGCTCTTTGCCGTTCTCCTACCCCCAGTTGGCAGTTCCCCCCTATATCCCTCCTCAGGTCGCCTCCACTATCACCACCGGCACCTCTCTTCTCATGTCCGAGCCTTAGCCCACCTCACCCTCCCTCTCCCTATCCCCCCTCCCCCCTCCTTCCCTTCCCTTTTCTCCTCTCTTCTTCCTCCAGTAGGGTATCCCCCCCCCCCCCGTTCCCCCTCAAGTCACCTCCACCATCATCACCGGCCCCACCGACTCATCTTCACCCTTCCCTTCTCCTCTTTTCCCCTCCTGCCTGTCTGCTCTTTGCACTTCTCCTACTGCTCAGCTGGGAGTTCCCCCCCTACATCCCCCCTCAAGTCGCCTCAACCATCACCACCGGCGCCTCTCTTCTCGTATCCGAGGCCCACCGCTTCGCAGCAACAGCGGCTACCATTGCATCCTCCGTCTCGCTCCCCCCCTCCCTCGCCCCCGCTGCTGACATCCGCACCCAACTGGCTGCAACCGCCCTGCTGCTAGTAGCCTACCTGGGCTTGCGCGGCTTTGCTAGTGTGAGTACCAGGAAATTGTTCTTGTCCTTCCCCTTCTTCTCCCTCTTCCCTCCCCTCCCCCCCCCTCTCCGCTTCCTCCCTTCTTTTCCCCCTGTCCCCCTGTCCCCGTGCGTTCGTCCTCACACATCATACACTTGCAGGCCCTGAATGCACCCCAAACCCGTTCTCCATCACTTTGGCCCTCTTCCTCTACTTCCTCTCTCTGCCCCTCTTCCTCTATCTTCCTTCAGAGTCCATTCTCTTCTCTGTCCATTTGTTACTCCATCTTGCCTCACCATCCTCCTCCCCATCTATCTTCCCTCTCCCTCTCATACTCTCCCTCTCATCCTCTCCCTCTTTACCTCTCCCTCGTTTCCTCACCTCTCATCCTCTCCCTTGTGTCAGACCCTGGATCTAGCACCGTCATCCACAGCTGCCTCGGACCGAAGCAAGCTACGAGTCTTCCAGGCCTTTTGCGACATGGCTCTCGCCTTCTGTGGCGCCCGCCACCCGTATTAGGAGGCTCTGGATCCAACCCTGGGTCGATGACTGCTGGGAGAGGAGGAGATTTCAAGGCTGAAAGGTGTTCTAAGCCTTTTGGGACATGGCTCACTCTCGCCTTTTGGGCCTTCTGTGGTACACCTGACATCTTGCCATGGTACCGTACCTACCCAGACTCAAGGCTGATGTTGAGGCACAACAGTTAAAGATGGCACCACGCGGTAGTTGCAGGGCTGACGTTTCAAAAAAAGCCACTCTGTCTCAAGAGTTAGAAGTGTTAACTAGAATGAGAGTATACAGGGGTAAATAGCTAGTGGGCTGTATTTCTATGGTAATCCCCTATGTAGTTTACTAAACATCCACAAATATGTTTGACACACCCTCTAGCAGGGCCTACTTTTGGATTTTTACTACTCTGAAATTAGGGAGTGGCTTTTTTCATCACTCTGAAAATCAGAGTGCTCCCCAATGGTTTCTCTGATTTTCCAGGGTTTTTTATATTTCTCAAAAATTTACACTGACAATGCAGAGGGGTTTTTGAAGTAACTCTCCGCAGCAGGGTTCTCTAGGTGTGCGGGGCAAGATTGGGAGATGGGGGGTGGAACAAAGGGGAAGTATCGAGAGATTGTATGGGCAGGGGGAATCGAGATTGCAGGGGCAGGGGGAATCGAGCTGGCAGGAGAGGTCGACACAGCAGGGGCGGGGACGGGAAATCTTGCACTCCCCCTGCAAGCACACGTTGGCCCCAAATACGGTGAAGGGCCCAACCAACACGACCTCACACAGCCAACAGCGCATCTCGCCTGACCCCTAGGAAGGGCCAATCAGCGCCCTCATGCACCTTCCAGCACAATTGGCGAGGTGATTTTGGTCAAGGGAAACTTACCGTAGCACCCTCACACAACCTCGAGCACGGACCAGACAATGATTTCGCCGGTGCGTGTGACATGACGCGTTCTGCGGGACACATGGGCACAGCTAGGTATAGGGGACAGGAACATAATCACATATATACGGTACCCCCTATACACGGACCATCAGAGTGGTACAAAGGTTTACTCGGATAAAATCAGAGTAAAACAAATAATTTATTTTTTTACTCAGGGCCCCTAGAGTAGTTTTCAAAAACGACTCTGATTTTCAGAGAAACAGAGTAAATTACTCTGATAAAATAGGCCCTGCCCTCTAGACAAGATAGGGGCAGAGCCTGGTGAGAGACAAACAGCTCAGGGCGGCACTACTTTTCCAACCTCTGAGGCAGTGGTCTAACTCAAGACTAGTCAAAGGAGTACAAACAAGGCAAAAACACGTCCAAGGCGGCACTATTAGTCCAGCCACTTGGAGAAAGCCACAAGGCCAGTCAGGATAATATATGAAGAGTTATACACAATCAAGGTCCTAGCAAATGAGGTGCTACAGGAACGAGTCCAAGCTGTACGCAGTGCCGCTAATGATCTTTAGGCGCAAGCGCCTTCGTAAAGATATCAGCTGTGTTGGCATCGGAGGCCAAGTGTACTACGTGGGCCAGGCGACGCTGCTGTAGCTCGCACATGAGGCAGTACCGCAGCTGGATGTGCTTCGTCTTAAAACTGAGTGATGAATGGAGTAGAGTACCTGGATACAAGCATACATATCAAGGGGTTGTACTCTCTAAGAGGTGAACCTATACAGTCTATACAAACACTAGATATACTAATGTTTGACACACCCCCTAGACTGCATAGGGGCAGTTCCTGAACAAGCAGCTCAGGGCGGCACTACTAGTCCAGCCACTGAGACAAGGGTCTAAAGACCAGTCAACAGGAGTACAGGCAACACAAGAACAAGACCAGGGCGGCACTACTAGTCCAGCCACTAGGAGAGGACACAAGTCCAGTCTGCGTGAATATATATACAAAGGACAATACAAAGTCAAGGCCCTAGCAAGTGAGAGACTATAGGAACTAGACCAAGCTGTACACAGTGCCGCTGATGATCTTTAGGCGCAAGCGCCTTCGTGAAGATATCAGCTGTGTTGGCACCGGAGGCCAAGTGAACTACGCGAGTCTGGCGGCGCTGCTGTAGCTCTTGTAGGAGAAAGTACCGCAGCTGGATATGCTTCGCTCTGCCCTCGAGTCGAGGCTCCTGACACAGGAGGATCATAGCCCTGTTGTCAGCGTACAGGAACGGGGCAGAGCTAGGCCGCTCACCTAAGTCAGTGAGCAAGAAGATCAGCCAGCGGAGCTCCTATGCCGCCATGGCACCAGCGTAGATCTCGGCCTCACAGCTGGACTGGGCAATAGACGAGGGGCGGGTAGCTCTCCACGAGATGGCACCTGAACCAAGGCTGAAGCAGTAGCCCTGGGAAGACCTGAGTGTTTCGGCGTCGTCTGCCCAAGAAGCGTATGTGTGTCCAGTAAGGACCACTGACCTGCGTTCTCCTAGCACTAACCCCATGCCCGATGTACTTGCAAGATAACGCAAAACCCTCTTAGCGGCAGACCAGTGCTGCGGTCGGTGTCTGCCTGTGGCCACAAAGCGAGCCAGGATGCTGAGAGGGTATGCGAGATCTAGGCGAGTGCAAGTCATCAGGTACATGAGGCAACCCACCAGCTCTGCGCAAGGGCCACTGGGCTCCACTGACTCCTCAGAAATTGGAGCGGAGAGTCTATGGTCTACAGGCAGAGAGGTGGGCTGTGCAGAAGAGAACTGAAGGCCGAACCTCAGAAGGACCTGGCGCACCAAGTGTGACTGAGTCAAGGTGATGGTGCGCGCTGCTCTGTCCCTGGAGATCTGCAAGCCAAGGTAACGACGCAGTTCTCCAAGGTCAGTGCAAGTGTGTCTCTTCAGTAGCTCTGCCTTCACGGAGGCCAGTGCGTCCCTGTCTGCTGTGGCAAAGACCAGATCGTCCACGTAAACAAGTATGAAGAACGGAGTCTGGCCAGCACGAACGAAGAGTGAGGGGTCTGCGGAAGACGGAAAGAACTGCAGGTCAGCAAGGGTAGCACGCAGCGTGTCGTGCCACTCACGGGGAGCCTGCCGCAGGCCATAGACGGGACGCCGCAGGAGCCACTGGGTCCCAGGAGGGAAGGTGCCAGTAAAGCCCTGAGGGCGACGCAGGTAGACCTGCTCGTGTAGGCTGTCCTGAAGGAAGGCCGTCGAGAAGTCGAGGGAGTGAAGCTCGTAGTCACGCTGAGCAGCTAGGTGTAACAGAACCCGAAGAGTAGTCAGCTTTGGGGTCGGAGCGAAGGTCTGGAAGAAGTCCACCCCCTTACGCTGACTGAAGCCTCTAGCTACGTAGCGCGCCTTGAACACAGGCGGCTCTCCAGGAGGGCGCTTCACCTTGAAGAGCCAGCGGCTATCGACTACGTTCACCCCAGGCGGGGGAATTGCGTCGACGAAGGTGCCAGAGGATCTCCAAGATGCCATCTTCTGCTCCATGGCAGCTATCCACTGGGAGGCCCAGGGTCCTAAAACCGCCTCACCGTAAGTGCGAGGGGTCGGGATGTCGAAGGCGTCTGGGTCACCCTCAGGGACTAGCAGCAGGGAACAGAGATGGGAAGCAGCCTTGGACAGGAAAGCAAGCTCGTACTGGCGGTCCTCCAAGACGTCACTGCCGAGGGCAGGAGCACCCCCGACAGACGGAGGTCAGGCTGGGTCAGAGACCAGAGCGGTGGCGTTGTCAAGGCGGCGGGTAGAGGCGAAGGCAGCGACCGCAGCGACAAGAGCGTCAAGACACGAGACCAGAACAGACGGGTCGGTAACGAGAGAGGCGAGGACTCAAGGAACAAGAGGACGAGCGGCACGAAGGTAGTCAGACAGAGGAGGAGGTGCAACAGTAAGAGAGGATGGAGGAGGCGATGGTAGAAGGGGAGGACGAGACGCGTGGGAACGAAGCAACATAGGGTGAGAGCGCGTGACAGAGGAGACAGGACGAGCGCGGGAGGGACGGCGGGACCAGACATGAGACGGAGGCGTTGGGTCAGGAGACAGAGGAGGGGACACAAGGGGGGAGCGAGGGGGAAGATGAGCCAGGGACGAGTCCGGCGGAGGGAACACAGGGCCGTAGACAGGAAGAGGAGGAGACAGTAGGGGAGGACCGGACGCAGGGTCAGGGGACGGAAGGCCGAGCAGGCGAAGGGCGGACACCGGCGGGGAGCGCTGCTGCGGCGGCACAACACCAACACCGGGACCGGGACCGCAAGCTGCTCCGCGGCTACCTCCGGAACACTCCACGTCGGCACCCCCAGAAGGAACACCCCCAGAGCCCGAAACCTCCCGAGCACCAGTACCACCCCCAGGCCCACCGAGGCAGGCCACAACAGGAACCCCAGAACTAGCACCCACCCTAACGCGGGCACCCCCAGGGTCGACGAACTGCTGCTGCGACGGCGGCGGCGGCGGCAGGAATGACGGCTGCGACAGCATGGGCGACGGCGGCTGCAGAGGCTGTGGGGGGGGAGCCACCGGGGGAGGGGCAGACGGCGAGGACTGCGCCGGAGGACCACCAGAGTCAGAGGACTCCTCGACCGGGACAACGAACGGGAGAGGGGTGACGTGGGACACACCAGAGGGGGCAGAACAGGGAGGTGGAGGGGGGGGGGCAGGAACCACCAGGGAAGGAGTGGCCAGGAACAGGGGGGGAGTAACCGGGGGACCGCGGTGGGGGAAGCGACGATAGAAGGAGACGGACTCGTCAAAGGTGACGTCGCGAGAGTGAAAGAACCGGTGAGATGGCGGGTGGTAGAAGCCAGTCGGACGCGTCAAGGGGGAAACCTAGGAAGACGCAAGGAAGAGTGCGGGCAGTGAGCTTGTCCGTGCCAGAGGCACGAACGTGAGCAAGGCAGCCCCAGACGTGGAACGCAGACGCGTCACCAGGACACCCGGTCCAGAGAAGGGTCGGAGAAACCTGCGGCTGCTGGGGGTGCGGCCACAGGTTAAGCTGGTGAGCAGCGTAGCGCATGGCGAACGGCCACAGAAAATGGGGTGCACCGGCATGGATCATGGAGGTGCGAGCAACCTCCATGACCAAACCGATGCGTCGCTCAGCGACCCCATTCTGCTGTGGGGAGTCCGGCGGGGTGAACGTCTGGGTGATGCCCTCCGCACCACAGAAGCGACCAAGGACACCTGAGGCAAACTCGCCACCACGGTCAGAGTGAAGACGCAGGACAGGGAGACCGCGGTGGACATGGGCAGAGACAAGCCAAGGGATGAGAGCGTCAGGCATGTCGGCCTTGCTCTCCAGGGGAAAGACTATGGTGTAGCGAGTGAAGTCGTCGACAAGCACGAGGAAGTAGCGCTCGCGACGCGGTCCATGGACGGGGGCGGGGCCGCAGACGTCCATGTGAAGGGTCTGCAGCGGTGCGGCGGTAGGGGGAAACGAGGAGG